CTCAAACGGCCAAGCAGAGAGAATGGTTAGAACAACAAAAGAAGCTCTTGCAAAACTGGTATGTGGTGATTGGGGGGTGAAACTTGCTTCGTTTCTGTTGAGACAACATGTTACCCCTTGCTCGGTGACTGGCCGCAGCCCGGCCGCAATGTTAATGGGTCGCCGTTTAGCAACGCTGTTAGACAGGTTGCATCCAGACCTTAACGATTTAAAACCACAGCCGCAGACCGAGAGTCCGAAGGTACGAACATACGAAAAGGGTGAGCAAGTGTATGCTCGTAACTATGCCAGTGGTCACTTGTGGCTCCCAGCCACTATTACCGATGTTATTGGTACAAGGATGTATGTGGTACGGCTTGCAGATGGGCACAAGTGGTGTAGGCACATAGACCAGCTGAGGCAGCGGTGGGCAACTGACCGATCCACCGTGCAGCCGGCTGAGTCAACTGAGGAATTCCCAAGACCTCTAGAAGAGGCAGGTACTGTAGAGCCTGAGGGCTACAGTAGTGGTCAAGAGACAGGGCAGACCTCTAATCTTGAACCACCCGTAACGGACGGGAATGTTCCTGACTCTGAGGTCCCAGAGTCAAGCGGAGTGCCACTGAGGGAAAGATGCCCTGAGACAAGTACACCTCGTAGGTCTCAGAGAATGAGACGTGCACCCACCTACCTAAGAGATTACGATTGTTCATGATGTATTTTGCTTAGGGGGGAGGGAATTGTAATGTATTCATAGCTGCCATGAGTACATTAGGATGTGTGTGAAACATCCCATTGGGAAGCTATGTTAAGCTTCGTCTTGGACAGGGGATTCAAGTCCGAGACTAACAACCCAATCACATTCAAGCAAGCTGCAAGCGGGAACGTTTGTGATTGGTCCTTATGCGCTCAACCTGATAGGTTGATTTGTGTATAGTAGGAGTGGCTACATTAGCTGGGAATGTTTAAATACCGAACAGTTTCTATGGACAAACTGTTCGGGCTATCAGATGTTGTACCGTGTCGAAGAAGTGAACAAAGAGCTGGATAAACTTGAGTCTTTTGCTGAATCACTCTCCGACTCATTGTTAAGCGCCGGACTTAACACCTTTGAAATTCCTTTGCAAGGTAACTTCTACTTTTAGGTCAGCAACTGAAGGGTTAAAATGTTCCCCCATTGGTTTTTGCATGTTGTGGTTTCTGATGTCAGACTTACGTCCATTAATTCTTTGTCGAAGGGACTGATCTGTTTGTCCAACATAGAGGGTGGAAGGACATTGCTGACACGTGATGACATAAATCACATTAGGGACTGAGCAGGAGAATGAACATGAGATGGTATGGTTGATATTGCTAGGTCCACTGATGATGTTGCTAGGATCTATGTGAGAGGAAAGGTGGCATCTTGGTTTGTTGCAGGCCTTGGTACCAGAGTCCATGTTACTGTTAAGTAGTTTATCATTGTGTTTGAGAAGTTGTTTTAGGTTAGCAGGCTGTCTGTGAGAAAAAGTTGGCCTCCCAGTGCCTGTGTGAGGGAAGTGTCACTATCCAGCATGGGTTGTAGGTCATTAATAATGTGTTGAACTGGCTTGAGTTGCGAGCTGTAGCCAGGGCCATAGCTAGGGTTCAGCATTTTGGGGCCACGCCCCCTTAATTTTGAACCACATCCCATCACCCAAAGGGCCATCTTTGAATTTGGATTGAATTGAGACCTAGGTTTCTTGTCTCATTACCAATGCTAATTTCTCCACGCCTACTTCCTCTCTGCATATCACACCTAATCCAATCACACCTGCTATTGTCATTTGACATCTGAAATCACGCCACTTTCCAATATATAGGACAGATGGACTGAAGAGGTATCTGAAGAAGTGAGCAGTGACTCACAAAAGCTCATAACCTACCACAAATTTTGTCAGTCTTTAAGGTGGTATTGGACTCTTACTCTTTTCTACTGCTACAGACAGGACTTACATGGCTTCCCATCTTGATCTATCTCCAAGGCTTTTCAGGGTACATTATCAGAAAACTTCAGAATAGCAACCTTTTGTATACATTCCTCTCCAGCCTGATGGAGATCTGAGTAGTTGGAAAGAGGGTAAAATCTTGTGATCCAATAAAAATCAACATTGTTGTCTGTTTTGTGTCTTGATTTATGTATGGAGTATTATAATAGACATTAAAAATACACTATCTACATGAACCTTACCCCCCAAAGGCTTAGTCAGTTAAAGTTTCAGTCATATAACTGGTTCTATTAATTCACTGTGTGTCAAAAGTTGCTGTCCACCCACCTTTCCCATGCAGGGGTGGCAGACCTGTGCTTCAGTGTCTCTATGGAAGAACAAACGTGGGCTAGGGCCTTGTCAAGTTTTGTTCTGTCAAACATTAAGCAGCCCTGTAATTGCTGACAGGTACAGAGCCCTACAATTAATCTAGGAGTGACAAGTGGACTGAATAATTGCATATAACTAATTACAACTCAGTAATAAATCCTTGAGGGTCAGTAGCCCGGCAGTCATTCACATCCAACTGTGAAAGCATACACAATCCCTGAAAGTCATATAATTTAATATTCTTGCCCATAAACCAACAAGGCAGAAGAACAAGAATGAGAGTAGTAGGTGGACTGGTTCATGCTACTGTCTGCAATGGCACAGGAGCCCTTCCTCTGGACCCACACTGCTGCAGTAACATCACTACTGAAGAACTGTGTGGGCAAGGAGAACTATATAATTCATTTACTTTGCCAATACGGTTTCTCCATACATATTACTCAAGTAGCATGGAATGGAACCATGGGATAAAAGCTCCTCTTTCATGTGGGTTCACACCACTTCCTGCTTGCAAATTGCAATTCAGAAGTAGGCACTAACAACAGTGCAACCATTTTGGATGTTAGAGCACACTTCCCATTTAGCAAAAAATCAAAGAAGAAATGCACAAGTAGGGTGGAGGGAGTCTGCAAACCCACGGGGGTGCTACCAATCTGAACTGAATCAGTGCAGACTTCCAACTGATGCAGAGATGCTGATGATGCCAGGAACTGCAGAACTCAAGAATATGAACTTCCAAACTAATTATAATTCCACCCTTTATTGTTCTTGGTAGAGCCCAGGGCACTTTGCGGTATCATCAGTTTCACTTTGGGGTAAGAAAAAAAACAAAACAGGTCTTTATACACAAGTGAACACCAAAGCTACAACGGCTTTTTAAAAGGCTTTCCATAGATTTTTCACAAGATACTTCCCTAGAAGCAGTCACTGAACTCCTAAATTATGTGCAGACTGTTGATAGTTTGGAGCCTCTATCTAGCCTTGGGAATACCGGCTGAGAGCGAGCGAGTGAGCCCCAGCCTGAGCCGATGCCCGCTGGAGCCCCGAGGACTGGCCCAGATGCATCACTAGGCCTCTATCGGCTCGAGGGATGATGACCGGACGGACAACATGGATTTAGATCTGAAGAGCACGCCATCTAATCTTTTAGCACTGCAAGCACTTTATTGCTGTTATTTTCTTATGTAATATGAATGAGTATGTATTTTATGTAGTTTTAAATTTTTATGGTTATGCCAATTAGGTACATTGTACCACTCTTGTTACCCGCCCTGAGCCTGTTCGCAGGATGGTCGGGGTATAAATATAATAAATAAATCTATACTGGCAAGTACAGTAGCTTGCCACAGATAACCTCCAGCTTCACATTTGTTCATGTCAACCAAGCCAAAGGATATGTGCAAAGTCTGATGAGTGTTTAAGTATTTTCCTTCTTACACTGGAAACAAACAAACTCTGTCATATGGGTTATGTAAGCATCAGGGCCTTCATCATTAATACATTCTGTACTGATGCTGCTTTAATTTTTAGGATTATCACATGCAGCGAAAATTTTCAGCACTTTGATCCTACACTTGTCTTTCTCAAAAAAACCCACCAACATCACGTCATCATTTGCAGATGACGTGATGTTTATAGTGGAAAATCCTTGTCATGAATTACCGCTCTTATTTCAGAAAATAACTGACTTTGGCGAATTGGCAGGTTTTTATGTAAATAGAAACAAGACTAAATTGTTATGTAAAAACATGACAAAAAATAAAGTGGTAAAAAAGACAACATACTTGGGAATTGAGTTAACACCAAAAATATGGACTTGTACAAAAACAATTATGAAAAACTTTGGAATAAGCTAACCCAGGACTTTAAGAAATGGGACAATATGAACCTATCTCTTATGGGTAGGATATCAGTGGTTAAAATGAATGTGTTACCGAGAGTGATGTTTTTATTCCAAACTATCCCAATATTGTACAAGACGGACATATTAACCAAATGGCAACAGGAGATCTCGAAATTTGTCTGGGCAGGCAAAAAGCCCAGAATTAAAATGAAAATTCTCTGTGACGCAAAAGAAAGAGGGGGATTGCAGCTACCAAACCTAAGACTGTATTATGAAGCAGTTTGTTTAACATGGCTGGAACAATGGG